TTTTAAACGTATTTCAAGTATGGTACGTAAAAAAATGCTATAGTTTTGGTGATCTCCAAATAACTTAAAATATGAAAACTGCGTCTGGCTTCCGATCATATTATGCAAAACATCGCCTCCGCCCCATTATAAACACATGAATACATGTTATTAGTATAAAATGCAATCTATTCAAGAGTATTTATATTTATAATACCGTTTTTTGTTTCTTCTGACTATCTGTAAAGATTTCTAAGCCACAGGATGTTAATGCCAACAGAATTAAAAAAGGTCAAAACGGTCGATGTTGCAGTTGTATACTAAACGTAGTCCGTAGATTTATGAAATCGTGGCATGGTGTGAACGCTTTTTAAAGCAATTATTGAAGTTCTATTTCTTAACAAACGCTGAATTCAGAAGCTACGCGAAAATGCTATATTGTTTATTTTTATTTACTTGTTTATTGCAGTTCGAGTGTAGATATCCTTAATAATATTTAATTGAAACATGTGAAACTGCGAAGAGAGCAAGAATGTCTAGACAGAGACAGACCGAAGCTTTAATCATGTATTTAATTATTAATATAAGCGAATCTATCATTGAAATAATCTTCTCAAAAGTAAAACTTTTTTGGCAAAATTGCTTATTAAAGAGTTTATTAAGTTTTTATTATAACCCAGTTCACTTTTTGATTCATCGCTTAATTGTATAACTTTTTATTGCTATTGAATTTGGGCACGAAATGTATAGTGACATAATTAAAACACACTTTTTACGTTTAGTTATGTCGTGTTTATGAAATTAAAAGTGATTGTTTAATTATTTCACACACAGACGCGCGACTCGGTAGTCACGATCATCGCGTAGTATTAATAATTATGTTTAATCACGGTATGTGTGAATGGTTACGTAGGCAGTCAGTCTTAAACTGCTACATATTGAGGCAAAAACTATTACAAATCACAGATCGGTACGTAACAACAGGAAAATATCTTTGCACTTAAAATGCATCAACACCAATGGAACATGCGGGGCACCACATCCCAGACAATAAATTGTTTGAACTGTGCTATGTAGGACACCAGACTTGGAACCCTTACTCTCATTAGAATTACTAGAATATAACCTAGTATTAGAATTCAGTTTGCTGTTGTAGTATATAGTGATGATTCTAATAAGTTAAAAGCTTAATAATCATTAGTCTAGTCTAGTAAAGTCTTTAAAAGTGCGCCAGGTAAATCCTATTCATTGTAAGCAATAAGACCGGGATTATAAAACCATTTGGACTGTAACTATAGGTAATTTTAAATTCTGGTACATGATACAAATGTAACCTACTTTACTTCATTGATGTACACTACTGGCCTTTTAGTGTTTAGCAATTGCTTGCCTTTGGATTAATGGTTTGTCTTCATATTGGTACATTTTTTATAGCATACAAATCACTTCGTATTTTTTATGGTATACAAATCAGCAAAAACTTTTTCTAACTAAATTGTTGCGAGGATAATAAATAAGCAATTGCTGTAAAAGTCTGAATTCGAAGGCTGATCAAATCAGAGGCGAAGCATAGAAGTATATAAGATACAATAACAACAATGAGAAATTGCTGTGTAGGCCTATAAATATGTCGCTTCGCGTTTAAGATTTTTGGGATAAATGCCAACAATTCGGAGTAACTTTAAAAAAATACCTATTCTAAAACATCAGTTAGCAACATATCATACACATAGCAGTAATTGAACTGTCCATAAGTAAATAATCAGCTTTGTATTCAAGTATATATGTTTATGATACTTTATGTAACTTGTTGATTAAATGCTTATGACAAGAGCGAACTATTATACTGACAAGACGCAAATGTATAAACCACCAGGCAATCACTAAAATAGAATCCACGCTATATGCACAGCCAATATTATAAAAAACTGAAGAGAAGCAACAGTATTTTTGTTTCATAAGTATATAATTGTATGGTTTATTGTTTGATGCTTAAACAATGGACATTAATAAGCAATGATTATAGGATGTGATCGAAAAATAAATATGTGCACATCTTATCATTTACCCCTTTTCGCAGTGGTTCAAGTAATCCATACAACACCTGTATCAACACTTTTAAGGTTCAAAACCCAAAGTAGGAAAGTCTATAGTCTCATCAAATCTGCATTTATGTGTCAACATTATAGCAATTGAAAATTTTTACTATTTAGTTTAATAAAACTAAATAAAACTGGTTTTTCTCTTTTGGTAAAACACTCAATCAAACTTCTTTCTTATACATCCATTATTCCTTTGAACGTTATTTTTGAGAACAAGTGCAACAAGGGTTATTATAATAACGCATACACTCAACATGTACACACATAGACAACCACAAATTGGATCCAAATTCACGAGAGAAATATTAATAATATATTTCTCCCGGCCCGGGAATCGAACCTGGGACCTCGGCATGGCAGTCCGGCATCGTAACCGTTCGGCCACGGAGGCAGTATTGTTTCGTTAAGGGCTTGCACAGCCATCATCACTGCAACTATCAATTGATTATTGTCATAATTCCAATCTGTAGTCATAGCTAATAGTATTAAAGAAATAAAGCATTATTCTCCTGGCTTTGAATGTTTTGGTCTCCTGTACTTGAGGCGTGTGCCTTCATTGTTATGGGTATTGTGTGCCCTTCAAGAATGTATAAATCATCACATAGCATGTAGTAAGCGCATTTTATACATATAAAGCTTGCTGCTTTTAGCCTTCAAATGTTTTATTAAATATGTATTCCATTATATTAATAATATATGTTTCCATTAGCATAATAACAAACTATACTACCATATAATACTTATAACTGATTATAAATCAGAATCCCTAGATTTCTAACTTCAAGTCTTTAAGCCTGAACTGTGTACTCATTGAGTTTTGAGGGAATGAACCTGACAGGGCAAACACTATAGCAGAGAATGTCTCTGACCAGGTGCCAGAGAACTCGCAGTGTAACAAAAAGGACCACCTTGAAATGGACAACTTGCCATGCCTTGCCACTTGGAATGGACCAACGAAGACTAGAATAAAAAGGGTATAAATTTAATATATTTAATATAACAGCATTGTCTACCGCAATCACTTTCTACGTTGAACAATGTTTTCCAAGATTATGCAGGTAATGATCACCGATAGTATCTAAATATTATGACCAGTCATATGTATCAACAGATTTCTTAATTATTAATCTTTTTTCATGTGTATATAAGAGTGAACTTTAATTGGCTGTAGGTAACTCAACCTAAAATGTTTACATTTTTACATTAAAAATGAATACTAAAGTTATGACCATTCCAATCAACATTGCTAGGTTTATAAAACACTGGTTTTTATACAGAAGACTATACAAGAATATAGTGAAAATACAAATATAAATGAAAAGTTGCAACCAGTTCTAAACACTTTCTAAAACTTCCAGCATTCATCACCATTTCAATTTATATGCAGCCACTGCTTGGCAACCTTCGTGGTTGAGTGGCTTGCACATCAGTTTTCATGGTGTCGCCATCTCTGAGGTCCCAGGTTCGGTCCCCGATCAAATCACATTTGGGACATATTATATGACCAAAAGTATTGCTTATCCCATTTTGCATTTCAAACGTCAATATAGTCTCGGGTCTGGGAGTTTGTGGTTCCACTGTTATTTCGGATTTCCAAACACAAGGGCTTTAATTATGTTGGGATCAGAGCAACATATGTGATATTGTCTAATATACTGAACATAAACCTACTTTTCAATAATAGGTTCAAGTATTTTTTAAAGTCATTTGTGTGGCAAATATATTACATTGTGATTGACACACAAAAGCTTTAATATATACTTTTCTTCAATTTGGAATTCCTTGTTCATAATTCATATTATAAAAATAGACATCAGTGACGGTTTAATTTAATTAATAGAAAAATTTTCATATCCAATAACACATGGATTTCTAGAGTTCCCAAAGAAAGTGTCACTGTTTCTGCAAGAGTTTATTGTATTCAAAATTTGTTGTGTATGTATTGGGGACTAAGAAGAAAGTCCAACTTTTAATGGAAATACTTGAATAGAGGTTTTGGATAATTTCATGGTGACATGTGGGAAAATTAAACCGATATTTTGACTTTGATCTTGCAAATATTCATAGGTATTATATAATAGAAAACATAGTCCAAACATGCAATCAAGTTACTAGATGTTATCTATATTTGGATATTTATGATATATTTTGTTATCGATATTCGCAATATTCTGGCCAAACCTTGTCAAAGCACATAAAACGACACTTTTGCTTTGGTAAAATCACACACTTGGTCTTTTTTTGATTTGATTTGCGTTGCATTAAATTGTGTAGCTATTAAAAGGTTACCACCTGCGAAATAAGTTCTATTACTGGAGAATCCTAGATACATTTTAATCAATTTTAATTTTATATGAGAACTATTGCATAGCTTGTATTAATATGGTGCAATTAGAAACAAAGGCACTAAATTTTATAGCGTGTTAAGTATTAAAATACACATTTGAAATTCAGGAATTAAATAAAAAATAAAAATACAATTGCCCTGCAATGCCGAGAATTGAGTTACGCGAGTCACAGGTCTGCTTTGGTTTTAAATAAAATGTAGAAATAAGTATCCTAAACTAATCATAACATAATCCTCCACATCAGTTCCTTTATTTGTTAGTATATTTTTCGCTTTTTACGAGACTATCAGACCGTTCCCTAGGTTTTAGGTTTCAGTCGAATTAACCGAAAGCATGGACTTTGACAACACAAGAATATAGAAGACAAAAACTTGGGAGACCTCAACCATATTTTTACAGCATCTTAGGAAGCGATCTGGATAAGAATATCCAGCACATTATCAAACATAATCTTTCGCCATGCAAAGCGTCACTTTCAGTAGGCAAAAATACGCATCTACGCGTGAGGCCGCACAGTTGTTAGGAAAATAACGACCATGTCGCAGAGAGCGGGAATTTAGTGACAACTTACATTTTTAGTTTCGCTGGACGATGAACGCGGCCTTTTCCCTTTGTTTTTTGAAAAACTCATACTTATTTGAAATAAATTTCACCACATTGGACAGTTATTATATGGGTAAACTAGTGCAATTTCAATTTTTGGCTAAATTTATTCACAACTGGCAAAAACGTGACAAACATGGCGTCTTCTGAAAATGTCAAGCGAAGCGCTTGGAGGGAGGTCGACGTAGAGCAATTTTATTTTAAAATGCACTGATGTAGTTACTAAAAATTACATAATTAATTTACATTGCTGTATTGATTGCTGAAAATTACAGCACTAACAATGAAATAGCTGATAAATTATTAATCAATCATAAAACGACTTCCGAAAGAAAACTTCAAACTCTGTCAACAAGTGTTGCTGTTTTAAATCAACATAGAATAACTCCAGACTAGTGTTGGGTCACGGAAAATATTCCATTTTGAAATAAATCATAATATTCAGGAAATATATATTAGGGGTTAAAGTATGAAATTGCCGTTTTATTGCAATAGGT